GCGGGTCCGGCTGCCGCTTGAGCCTGGGCTCTCCGCCTGGTCCGCGGAGGGGGATTTCGCGGGGCGCCTCCCCAGGCGCTTCGCTCTCCCTCGCTACGACGCGGAAAGGCAACGCCACCCCGGTGGATATTGGCACCGGTGTCCTCCGGCGCTTTGGGAGAGGGTCACCGAGAGGCGCTGGAAGTTTTCAGCCCGCTGCTGGTCCCAGAACTAGCACCAATAGGTACCCGTGTGTTATAAAGGTAATGGCAAAGCAAGATTACCTGACAGATAATGATGGACACCAGGGAGAGGCAACTTTTTCACTTAGATTGCGTTTATTTTAATCTCTTGTTTAAAAGCACGTTGTTGAAAGCAGGACATTTGTGAATTGAGGAAAGCCCTGGAGGGTCCGATGCCCGGCCAAACACGGGAACCAGGAGAACGGTAAATTGCTTTTGCCAAGAACTTGCAACTTGCAGCGTGTCCTGTGAAATAAGATGGTACGCCCTTGGGTCAGGAAGCTTTGCAGGGCATTGCTGCGGGGCCCTCTGGTTGACAATTTGACCTGCCAGGGTAAAAATCAGGAGGGCAAGCCCAGCAGTAGAGGCTGTGAAACCTTGCAGGAAGCGATCAGTGCCAGTAAGACTCACTTTTACCACATCTGACTGTGAAGGGGATCCCTGAAGTCCACCCAGAAGTAGAGGCTGAAATGGTACATAGTTGCCTGGAGCTCCCAGGCCAGAAATCTGCTGGCAGGCATTTTGGCTTCCTTCATTTGTCTTGCCTAGGAAGGAGGGGAGGTAAAATCATAGATCCTTCTGCAGGAACACACACCCCCCCAACCAACCAAAAAACAACAAACAAAACATTTTCCTTTGGTTTTAGTCTGGGTAACTCAAAGGCATGCTATTTTCTTTTTTGATTTGAGAATTTAGGTAAGGGAGGCCCCTGGCTTGTTTATGAGCATATAGTTGGGGGTTTCTACCCTCCAGTGAGATGGGAATCTCTCTTTCTCCTTTTCATACTCTGCCTAATTGGGCATGAACAGTGGGAGGGAAACATGTCTCTGTCCACCTGGTAAGAATTACCTGCTTTTTTCCATTTCAGTCTCTGCAAGTCAAATGAGAAGGGGAGAGGAGTGGAGAAGTCAGGAAGACCTGGGGTGAATTGACATGGAACCATTTGGGAAGCTTTTCCTAGTTGCAAGCAAGCTGTATGATTTCAGCTCATAGCTTTGTGGTACGAAGCAAGTGGAGTGCTTAATGTTTGGAGAGGTGGGTGAAAACTAAGAGATGGGTTAGGAATAGCAAAACTATCCTGCAGATTTAAAGCCAAAGGGGGCCTTAAAAGGTGTCCTGGGAAGGAGAGAAGAGATGTAAAACAAGAGCCTGGAGCTCTTGGGTGACAGATCTGCCCATGAGCTTTTGCACATCCCCCTTACTCTCCTACAAGTTAAATGCCTCTGTAGTTCTCCCGTTGGGAGAGGGTGTCTCCTAGATACCAGTCTGGATTGCATGGTAGGGTGAACAACAGTATAAGAAATCTACTGCTGGGGGGGGGGTGGTATTGTTCCCCTTTCAGAATGGACCCTTCCCCTTTTCCAAAATCTGGGAAAGTCCCCTCCTTGCACAAGACATTATATGGGGCCATGGATATAAGGAAAAACTTTTTAACCGTGAGGACAGCCAAGCAGTGGAGTAGGGTGCTGAAAAAGCTTGTGCAGTCTCCGCTCTTAGAGGTGTCCAAGACAAGACTGGGTAAAGCTCTGAGCAGCCTCACCTGACCTCATAGCTGACCCTGGTTTGAGTAGGAAGTTGGACTAGAAAGCTCCTGGGGTCCCTTCCAACCAGAATTATTCTGTCATTCTACTGACGTTTTTTAGTTTGGACGGAGTCCTGGGCCGGGAGCACAAGAAGGTGAGTGCGTGGCCAGAGAGGTTGTCCTCCCCTCTGAGCTTGCTCGTGTCCTGCTGTCCTTCATCTCACCTGGAAGGGACAAGGGACATCTACCAGGCCTGCACTGTCAATGCCAACACCTCTTCTGGCAGCGGGGGGAGGCCAGAATGGACTCCTCATGGCAGATCCACAAAGTCGACAAAGAGCAAACAGGTCGTCAAATCAGTTGGTAGAGCTGGCTGGCTTGTGATGGCCCCTAGGGCCCCTGGGGAATGTTAGTCCTTGGTTTCTCTCTCACACCATGCTCAGGAGAGAACCACAGCAGCCTGCCAGGCACACTTGACTTAGCACATCTGACTCTCTCTGTTAACTGTAAGCCACCATAGCCTGCTGCCAGGCCCTCCTTATGCCAGCAGCTCCCCTGCCCATCACCCCCAGGCACTGGGGGAGAGTAGCCAACTGTATGATCCTGCAGGTCATCCATTACATGGAGCGGCTGCAGTGAAGAGCCAACCTGAGGGCCAATACATACGACTTTGAGCCTTATCTGTCTCGCAGCAGCTATTAGGAAAGGAGGGAGGAGGACAGATCCTTGTAGAAAGGCCTCTTTTCCATCCCTCCTCTCTGGTGTTTTTAACCTTCTTCCCTCTCCCCGGGTCTTGATTCTGCTCTCCTGTTGAAGTGAGGCTGGGGCAGAGGGAAGCCTCTGCATTTCATCCTCCAGCAGCAGGACAGAGTACTGAAGACACGCAGAGGGAAAAAGTGGGGATCTGAGTACACCTGGAGGCGAATAGCAGACATTGCACGGAGGGCGGTGGAGTGTTTATATGTGACAGTGGAGTGTTACATGACAGAGATAAGTGCATTTTATATGTGTTTATACACCTTCATACGTATATGTTGTTATACATGTTTAAATGCATACATATATATGGATAGATAAAATATATTTTTATAGTTATATATGTGTATGAGAGCCATTGAAGTAGTTGGAAGATAAACCTTTCTCTTTACCCTAGAGAAACATTAAAGGCCCTCAGGGCTAGGACATTGTCCTTAGCCATGTTCTGTCCCACAGGAGGTACCTAGGATTTAACAACTTGCCGCTGGTTGCCAGCTGAAGTCCAACGTTTTTGTTTACACACACTTTTTATAATATAGCTACACATATATATATGCATAAAAAGGTATAAAAGGTTTCATTGGTGGTTGTTTTTTTTAATGAGAGATAATGGAATTAATTGTAAATTTTAAACATTCACTGAAAGAAAATTATATAAAAATAAAATGTGGCTTCATTGGCCACCTTTTCTACAAGTCTGCCACAGAAGCTTTAAACAGGTCTGGGGTGAGTGTGCATTGAAGAGGGAGCGGGGCAAAGGGCCAGTCCTGTGAGTCAAATCAAGGGACCCCCACTCAACCCTTGCTCATCCAAAGGAGAGACCCATCTTTGAGTCTAACCAAGAGGCCCAGCCAACCTCCCTCCCTACTCCTGCGCTGCTAAAAGCAGTCTAGTCATATGTGTTTCACTGACACGAGGTGGTGGCAAGAAAAACCTGTATGAATTTACAGACTTTTTAGAAATATGCTCACTTTAACTTTAGGCTGTTATGCCACAACTAGAATTTTAGTTCTCTGCTGCAGTCATCAGTCATGGACGCAGTACTCCAGGTGGGGTCTCACCAGAGCAGAGTTGAGGGACAGAGTCACCTCCCTCGACCTGCTGGCCACACTTCTTGTGATGCAGCCCAGGATATGGTTGGCTTTCTGGGCTGCAAGCACACATTGCCAGCTCATACCCAATTTTTCATTCACCAGTATCCCCAAGTCCTTCTTGGCAGGGCTGCTCTCAATCCATTTATCCCCCAGTCTGTGCTGATACTGGGGGTTGCCCCACCCCAGGTGCAGGACCTTGCACTTGGCCTTGTTGAACTTCATGAGGTTTGCACAGACCCACTCCTCAAGCCTGTCGAGGTCACCCTGGACGGCATCCCTTCCCTCGTGTGTATCAACTGCACCAGTCAGCTTGGTGTCATCTGCAAACTTGCTGAGGGTGCACTCAGTCCCACCGTCTATGTCACTGATGAAGATACTAAATAATATTGGTCTCAGTACAGATCCTTGAGGGACTCCACTCGTTACTACTTGGACATCGAGCCATTGACTGTAACTCTTTGGATGCGGCCATTCAGCCAGTTCCTTATCCATCTAACATTTCATCCATCAAACCCATACCTCTCCAATTTAGTGGCAAGAATGTTGTGTGGGACTGTATCAAAGGCCTTACAGAAGTCCAGGTAGATGACATCCATAGCTCTTCCCTTGTCTACTGATGCAGTCACTCCATCATAGAAAGCCACTAGATTAGTCAGGCACAATCTGCACTTGGTGAAGCCATGTTGGCTGTCTTCATTCACCTACCTGTCTTCCATATGTTTCAACATGTCTTCCAGGAGGATCTGTTCCATGATCTTAGCAGACGTGGAGGTGAGGCTGCCTGGTCAGTAGTTTCCAGGGTCCTCCTTTCTACCCTTTTTAAAAATGGGTGTGGCTTCCCTTTTTCCAGTCACTGGGGACTTCTCACTGCCACAAATATGATGGAAAGTGGCCTGGCGACTACATCAGCCAGTTCCCTCAGGACTCTGGGATGCATCTCCTCAGGTCCCATGGACTTATGTATGTTCAGATTCCTCAGGTGGTCTCGAACCTGGTCTTCACTTACAGTGTTGTTCCCCCAGTCCCTGCCTTGAGGTTCAGGGGCTTGAGAGATGTGGGAAGAGAGATTACCATTGAAAACTGAGGCCAAAATGTTGAGTACCTCAGCCTTCTCCATCTCAGTTATCATTAGTTCTCCTGTCATTTATCGGGGGTGGGCGGGGTGTTAAATTTCTTTAATCTCTCAGCCTTCTCCATCTCAGTTATCATTAGTTCTCCTGTCATTTATCGGGGGTGGGCGGGGTGTTAAATTTTCTTTAATCTTCCTTTTCTGATCAATGTACCTGTAGAAGCCCTTCTTATTATTCTTCACATCCCTCGCCAAATACAGTTCCAACTGTGCCTTAGCTTTCCTGATCCCCTCCTTACACATCTGGGCAGTGTCCCTATATTCTTGCCAGGATACATGTCCCTGGTTCCACTGCCTGTGCATTTCCTTCTTACACTTTCGTTTGACCAGGAGGTTCTTACTCAGCCATGCTGATCTCCTGCATTCCTGTCCTGATTTGTTACACCTGGGAATCGAGAGCTCTTGTGCTCTAAGAAAAATGTCTTTAATGAGCTGCCAGCTCAGTTCAGCTCCTTTATCCCTGAGGGCAGTTTCCCAGGAGTCCCATCCCCACTTAAACAACTGAAAGTTTGCTCTCCTAAAATTCAGGGTCCTGACTCTACTCTTCACCTGGCCCATATCCCTCAAGATTGTGAATGCCAATCAATCACTGCAGCCCAGGCTGACACCAATCTTGACATCTCTAATTAGTTCATCCATGTTGGTAAGCAACAGGTCTAATAATGCTTCTCCTCTGGTTGGGCTATCTATCACCTGGATTAAATTATCCTCGATGCACTCCAAGAGTCTCCTGGACTGCTTACAGCTTGCCATGCTGCTTTTCCAGCAGATGTCAGGGTGATTGAAGTCCCCCAGCAGGATCAGAGCCTTGCGAGTGTGATGCTTCCTGTAGTTGAAGAATGCTTTGTCAGCAGGCTCCCCTTGATGGGGTGGCCTGGAGTAAATGCCAGCCACGAGGTTTCCTTTGTTGGCTTGGAATGTACCTGTACAATGTACCTGTCCAGCTTTCAGACATCCTTCACAAACAGGGTATGCCAGCTGGAGTCAGTCTTCAGGTGTTTTCCTGCCCTGGGGAGCTGCTGGGACATGGTGGTGATCTGAAAGTACAGAAGGAGATGAGTTCTTACAAGTATGGGATGAGTTTGTTGTCCATTTTCTGCTTACAAGCTGTGTGCCTGCTTCTGCCGCGGGAGAATTAGGTGGTGTGTTATCAACACCTTTCTAGCTACAAATACAAGGCACAGCACTATGAGGGCTGCTATGGGGAAAGTTAACTCCATCCCAGCCAGACCCAATACAATCCACCCCTTATTTTCCATACCATTTGCGTCATGCTCAGGTCCCACATAATTTAATACATTTATATATCTTCTAACCATCCCATTGTGTCTAATTCTCATTACTGAAATCCCTTCTTACCAACACTTAAAACTTATACTACACACTGAAACCATCTTTATACCCAGCATACAGATTTATACATTCTGATTAACTACTATCCCGTCCCCTAACAGATAGATAGTATTCTCCCATTCCATGGGCTTCTTCCACCTGGGCCCATCGATCCAGCCTGTCCAGGTCCCTCTGCAGAGCC